AGTTTGGGGGGGGGGGACAAAAATTGCAATCAGTTGCACACAAGGGCGACTGGGTAATGTTTTTGTAACAATTATCTTGGGAGACCAAAGCTCTTCCGTTCCTCTAAGGTGCCAAACTCCAGGTGCCCCCAGCTCATATAAGCACCTGCAGCCTGATGGGGAGAGCTGAGAAAGGCGCATCTTGCATGTGGCTTGGCCAGCTGCTGCTGTGGTTGCAGGGCTTGGCTGGGCTGCCTGTCTCACAAGGAGCAGCCGTGAGCCACCGTGCCACTTCCCTTGACTCGCCTGGGGGTGGCCAGCCCTGGCCTTGGTAAAAAAGCAGAAATTGGGCTGCAGGATTTGTGCCCCCTTTCCCACGCATTGCTGGGAGCTTTTTCCACTCTCAGGCCAAAAGCCACAGCAATGACCTCTCCATCTACCCACAGGCGCTCCCTTTTCCTCCCATGCAAAGAATGAAAAAAGTCGGGTCAGACGCCTGCACACAGAGACACGCACATGTTGACAATGATCACAGCTTGCAATGCCAGTATCAGTGGGTTCTACCATGCATTCTGTTCACTCAGCATGTTCCCCCATATTATGATATTGCGTGACTTCCATTTTTCACAGTGGCTGATAACACAGCAGAGAATCCCCTAGTGCTGGCAATATGAAAAACCAGGCTTCTCAGCTGCTTGTAGTCAGTTTCACAAAAAAGTCTGGTCAGTTTCTACATAGGTTTTCCCCCTTTGCCAGCCTTCCTTTCCCTTCCCTCTCTGTTCCCTTTCATTCACTGAACTAACTCTAAAATGCATGCACAAAACCTGAGCCATCAGGATTTAAATGAAAGGTGCTTGCTGGATGTTACTGCACAGCTGCGATAGGACAATTGTGTAAATTAAAAAAAAAACACCTTTGGATGCCACCCCCCCCACACACGTCACAAGTGAAGTTCCCACCCCAGTTGAGAAAAACTGCAGGTTTTGGTTTCAGCTGCAGAATAAATACACAGAAATACACTGGAGAAAAAAGAATGGTGCATATGGCAGGCACACAAATCCAAAGTCAAGCTTAAAGGCTTGACTGCTCAAACTCTCCGGGGTAAGCTGTCAGTGCATAATGGGCCTTATACCACAAAGCCCATTCTGATTCCCTTCATTTTTAGCACTGCAAATCCCATGATCATCCAAAAGCTAGTGGCCAAATCTGAGGCTCCTAGCTTCACTTTTTGTTGAGTTATGGCTGCCACAGACAATCTTCGCATCTGTTGCAAACAGCATGGCAGGTGGGTTTCTGGACCCAACATGGACTAGGATGGTCCTATTCCCTTCATTTTTGGCACTGCAACTCCCACAAGACCCTGAACCTGGTGGCCAGTTTTGAGACTTATAGTTTTATTTGCTGATGAGTTATGCCCGCCACAGACATTATTATAGACTATTATCATAGACTGGCTCAGGAATG